CCATCTTAAATACTTACCACATCTTCTTTATCCATTCATCCATTGATGGACATTTAGGTTATTTGCATAGCTTGGCTTTTGTGAATAAGGCTGCAATAAACATGGGCCTGCAGCTATCTTGTCTTTTTTCTCCCCACTTTTCTTGAGATATAATGGGTATATAACATTGTATTACTTTAGGTCTCCAACATAATGAGTTCATAAATGTATCTATTTTGAAATGATTACCATGATGGATCTAGTTAATGCATATCACCTCATGTGGTTGTAACTTTTGTCCTGTGGTTAAATCTTTTACCTTAGCAACTGTCAGATGTATATTATTGTTAACTGTGGTCACCGTGCTGTGCATTATATATCCAGAACCTACTTATTTTGTAACTGTTAGTTTGTATCTTTTTGACCACCTTCCCTGTTTCTCTCAACCCACATTTCCTGCCTCTGGCAACCACCAGTATATTATCTGTTTCTATGAATTCAGTTTTTTTAGATTCTACATATAAGTAATATCATACAGTATTTGTCTTTCACTGTTTGACTTGACTCCTTTGCATACTGCCCTTAAATTTCATTCGTATTGTCGTCACAAATGGTGGGATTTCCGTATTTTCGTGGCTGAATAATATATTCCATTAGGTAGATAGATAGATGGATAGATAGGTAGATAGATAGATAGATAGATGGTTAGATAGGTAATAGTTGGATACATAAATGATAGATAGATCTACCTGTCTATATGATCTCATTTATAATATCTGTCTACCTCATATTTCTTTACCCATTCATCTGTCGATGGATGGTTAGTTTGTTTCTATACCATGGCTATTGTGAATAATGCTACAGTGAACATTGGAGTGCAGATATCTCTTCAACATAATGATTTTGGGGTGCCTGGGTGGCTCAGTCAGTTGAGTGTCCGACTTCAGCTTAGGTCATGATCTCATGGTTCTTGGGTTCGGGCCCCTTATCAGGCTGTGTTGACCACTTGTTCAGAGCCTGGAGGCTGCTTCAGATTCTGTGTCTCCTTCTCTCTCTGCCCCTCCCCTGCTCACGCTCTGTCTCACTCTGTCTCTTAAAAATAAATAAATGTAAAAAAAAAAATTAAAAATTAAAGATAATGATTTCTTTTCCTTGGATACATAACCCAAAATGGGATTGCTGGATCATATGGTAGTTCTAGCTTTAATTGTTTGAGGAACCTCCATACTGTTTTCCATATTGGCTAAACCATTAGTTTACATTTCCAACAATAGGGCACAAGTGTTCCCATTTCTCCACATCCTCACTAAAACTTGTTATTTCTTGGCCTTTTGACGGTATCCATTCTAACAGGTCTGAGGCGATATCTTATTGTAGTTTTCATTTGCATTACTCTGGTGATTAGTGACATTGAATATCTTTTCACTGACCTGTTGGCCATGTGTATGTCTTCTTTGGAAAAAAAAAATTCTATCCAGATTCTCTCCCCATTTTGTTTGCTTGTTTTCATTTTGTATTGAGTTGTATGAGTTTTTTTAAAAATATATTTTGAATACTAACCCCTTATCAGCTAGATGGTTTGCAAATATTTTCTCTAGTTCTATAGGTTGCTTTTCATTTTGTTGATCATTACTTTTGCTCTATAGGAACTTTTGGTAGCACCAAGCCCCATTCAGGGCTTGAACCCATGAACCATGAGATCATGATCCAAGCTGAAGTTGGATGCTCAACCGACTGAGCCACCCAGGTGCCCCTGTACAGGAAATTTTTAATTTGCTGTAGTCTTGCTTGTTGATTTCTCTTTGGTTGCTCGTGCTTTTGGTGTCATATCCAAAATACTATTTTGAAGACCAATGTAAAGGAGATTCTTCCCTACGTTTTCTTTTAGATACTTTATAGTTAAGGGTCTTACGTTTAAGCCCTTTATCCATTTTTAGTTAACTGTTGAGAGGTACAAGTGTCTACCTAATTTTATTTCCTGCATGTGGGTATCCATTTTTTCCCCATACCATTCATTGAACAGAATAGTGTTTCCCCACTGTATCTTCTTGGCTACCTTGTCAAATATTGGTAGACATTATTGGAGGGTTATTTCTGAGCCTCCATTCTATTCCATTGGTCTATGTGTCCATATTATGCTGGTAGCACGTCATTTTGATTATTATTGCATTAGAGTATACTTTTAAATAAGAAATGTGATACCTCCAGTTTTGTTCTTTCTGAGGATTACTTTGGCTATTTGGCTAGCCATACAAATTCTAGGATTTTTTTCTGTTTCTTTGGAAAATGCCCCTTGGAATTTTAACAGGGATGGCATAGAATCTATAGGTGACTTTGGGTATTATGGACATTTTAACAATATCAGTTCTTCCAATCCATGAACACGGGATATCTTTCCATTTGTTTGTGGCTTCTTCAATTTGTTTCATTAAAGTCTTGTAGTTTTCATTGGACAGGTCTTTTACTTTTTGGTTAAATTTATTCCTAAGTACTTTATGTTTTCGATGTTATTATACATGGGATTGTTTTCCTGATTTCTTTTTCACTCATTTCATTGTTGGTAGATAGAAATGCAACTAATTTCTTTATGTTAATTTTATATCCTACGACTTTACTGAATTTGTCGATCAGTTCCAACAGTTTTTTTCGGTTGAGTCTTTAGGATTTTCTGTATATAATAAGATCATATGATCTGCAAATAGAGACAGTTTTGCTTTTCCCTTTCTGATGTGGATACTTTTTATTTCTTTATCTTACCTGATTGCTCTAGCCAGTACTTGTGGTACTATGTTGAGTGAGTGCTGAGAATGACACCCTTGTATTGTTTCTGATCTTAGAGGAAAAGCTTTTAACCTTTCACCATAGACTATGATGTTAGCTCTGGGATTGTTGCATATGGCCTTTATTATATTGAGATACCTTCTTTCTATGCCCAATTGTTGAGTCTTTTTATAGAATGATGTTGTATTGTGTCAAATACTTTTTCTGCCTCTATTGAGATGATCATATAATTTTTAAAATTATTATATTAGTGTGGGGTATCACATTTATTGATTTACCTATGTTAGACCATTCTTGCATCTCAGGAATAAATCCCACTTGATCATGCCATGGGATCCTTTTCATGTGCTGTTGATCATGTTTTGCTAATATTTTGTTGAGAGCGTTTGTATCTATATTCATCAGGGATGTTGGTCAGTTTTCATCAGGGTAATGCTGGATTTGTGAAGAGAATTTGAGAGTAGTCTCTCCTGCCCAATTTTTAAAAAAAAGTTTGAGAAAGATTGGTATTAATTCTTCTTTAAAATTTTTTTAACGTTTATTTATTTTTGAGAGAGAGAGAGAGACAGAGTGTGAGCAGGGGAGGGACAGAGAGAGAAGGAGACACAGAATCGGAAGCAGGCTCCAGGCTCTGAGCTGTCAGCACAGAACCCGATGAGGGGCTCGAACTCACAGACTATGAGATCATGACCTGAGCTGAAGTCAGACGCGCAACCGACTGAGCCACTCAGGCACCCCGGTATTTTTAAATATTTGGTAGAATATTTAAATGTTCTTTAAATGTTTGGTAGAATTCACCAGTGCGATCATCTGGTCCTCGGCTTTCCTGTGTTGGGAAGCTTTTGATTCCTGATATAATCTCTTTACTTGCTATTGGTCTGTTCAGACATTCTATTTTTTTGTGCTTCATTTCTGGTAGAAAGGAATTTATCCATCTCTTCTTTGTTACCCAGCTTGCCAGCATATAATTGTTCATAGTAGTCTTTTAGGATTCTTGTATTTCTGTGCTATCAGAAGCTGAAGTGAATCTCGTACAGCATATTGTTGGGTCGTCTTTTTTTTTTTCCATCTAGCCACTCTGTATCTTTTAATTGGAGAATGAAATCCATTTATTTTTAGAGTAAATATTGATACGTTAGCACTTCGTAATGCCATCTTATTAACTGCTTTCTATTTTGTAGTTCCAAAATATTTTGTTCTTTTTTCTCACCTGCTGCCTACCTTGGCGAAATGGTGATTTTCTATGGCAGCGTGCTCTGATTTCCTTCTCTTTGTTTTTTGTGAATCTACTATAGTTTTTTTTTTTTGTTTTTTTTTTGCTTTGTAGTTCCTATGAGACTTAAATAAAAGGTCTTACAGATATAATAGTCCATCTTATGCTGATAGCAACTTAACTTAGATGGCATACAGAAACTCTACCCTTTTAGCTCTTTTTTTATGTTTTTAATGTCAAAATTTGCCTCTTTTTACATTTTGTATTTAAGTGAGTATAGTAGCTCTAATTGATTCTAATACTCTTTTGCTTTGACTTTTGTAATGTAGTTAAGTGATTAACACACTATCATGTTGCAGAATTGAAGTTTTCTGAATCTGATTACACATTTACCTTTACCAGTGAGTTGTATAACTTAGTATGTTTTCATGGTACTAATTAGCATCTTTTCATTTTCAGTTTGAAGAACTCCTTTCAGCATTTCTTATGAGGTAGTTTTAATGGTGATGAACTGCCTTAGTTTTTGTTTGCCTGAGAAAATCTCGATTTCTCCATTTCTAAAGGACAGTTTAGCCAGCTTGTGTATTCTTGGTTAGCAGCTTTTTTTTTCAGCACTTTGGTTGTTTTTTTAACTGTTTATTTATTGAGAGAGAGAGAGAGAGCACAAGCAGGGGAGGGGCAGAGAGAGAGCGCGAGAGAGAATCCCAAGCCTACTGCATGCTCACCATGGAGCCCGACACGGGGCTCAGTCGCACGAACCATGGGGATCATGACCTGAGCCAAAATCAAGAGTCCGGGGCTTAAGGGACTGAGCCACCCAGGCGCTCCTATTTTGGCATAATTCTTAAATTTGTATATCTTCTCTTCACCTTATAACAAACAGAGCAAGCTGGCTTTGGTAACCTTTCTTTTCTTTTCCTGAAGGTGGTGCTACAGCTGAAGCTTGTGTTTCCTCCCTTGCGTCAAGCTCTGGCTCGTTTTCTGCACATCCTCTCTTTGTCTGTTTAGCTGCCTCTTGCTTCCATCCTGGGAAGTGCACACAGAATGCCAGTCACGGAGTGGGAGGAAGTGTGAGTTTGGTACTTAGGGCCAGCTCGGGGAATCCCCAGGTGAGGTTTCCCTAGCTCTTGGCCAGGCTTCCTGCTGGAGCCTCGAAGGCAATTGGCAAGAATCAGCGTCACTTTAAGATCAGTGTCTCTGATAGTCTCATCTCCCTCTCTCCCAATCTCCCTTCTCGGACTCACAGAATTCATACGTTTATGCTCTGGGTTGTGTGGGAGAGAAGGCCTTCTCTAGCAGTGTCCTGCACAAATTGGGTAAGCCAGGCGCTCACTTGGTCTCCCTTTTTTTCTCATGGGAGGAATACCAGCTTTCTTTTTTTCTCTAAAGTGTGCCACCTTCTGGGAGGAATAATGCTTGCAAAGTTCCTCCCACCCACTCCAAGGCATCCAAACTCCTCTGGGTTGTTTTTTGTTTTTTCGCGCTGGAACTTTTCCTCCATAAACCTGCCCAAGTCTGAGAGAGACTGCCCAAGTCTGTGTTTTCCAGGCACCACGAGCAAAAGGGATTGGATCTGGTTCACAGGATCCTGCTGGTTCCACTGGGGTCTATCTCTATTATCCAGTACACAGGTGAGTAAGGCTTCCCCTAAATCCCTTGGCATATGGTGCTAGATAACGCAGGCTCCCACGGAAGCACTTTCGTTCCTGGATAGATGCCCAATTTTAGATGTTGAGAGAGGGCAAATGAGGAATGTCTTACGCTGCTATGATGTTGCTCCGTAACTTCTATGATTTAAATTGATTTTCTTAATTTCATATTTGTTGGCTGACCAAATGTCCATCACACGAATTTCTACCTTTGCCAGAAGAAGAATTTAGCCACATTTACAATATATATTCTCTATCTATCTATCTATCTATCTATCTATATATTTAGGTCACGATAATTTCAATTGTAGCTCAGCCTTAGTACTTACTTCATCATACGTAGTGTTGATATTAGTTATACAGCACCCACTTTAAACTTCATATTAAATACAGTCATTAACCCCAGTGAACAATTCGCACTTCTAGTCATTTCATACGACGTCTTTATCCTTTCTGAGATCCTTAGTTGTAATCATCCGCTAGTTGGCTGGGCTTATTCATCGAGTTGTTTATTTTTGGAACGATATATGCTATATTTATCATATTCAGTAAGTTCTTAATGTTAAGTTTTGGTTTTAATTTGCATGACAACTCAATGGATATAAGAACTTGCCTCTTTCGCTGTTTTTCTCAGACAGTGTAGACCTTGTTCTTCTATTTCCCCGCCATTGATGGGCCTGCGGCAAAGTCTAGGGTGGGGTTCACATTCTGCACTGTAAGCAACAGACTTTTTCTTTGTACCGAAAAATCAGAAACTTTACCCAGACTGCTTTATTCATTTATTCAATGCTCAGATTTAGTTGTCTCCTTATTTCAATGAAGTTTTCTTCTCCTAATGCTTAGCCATTTTCCATTGTGGGCTGGTCTTCGGGAACACCGATTTTATGCATGTCAGAACTGCTCACTCTTTCTTAACAACCATTTTCTCATTGCTTTGACTTGGTTCACAGAGTCACTTTGACATCATGATATCTCTAACGTAGTTTTCCTTTATGAGATATCAGAAGGCATTCTCATCTTTCTGATAAAAATATCAGAGGTATTTTTCACCTCCCTTTTCTGTGCTGACTGCCTCCAGCTCGTGTTTCGTCTCTCTGTTATGTCTTTGCCCTTTCCGTTTTACCTGTGAGAGGAGTTCTTTTTCCAGCATGAGTCGTCCATAATTTCTTCAAGTATGAGAAAGTATTTCTATGCAATTACCTAATTTCTTCCGAAACATGGATTCTCATACAAAGTGTTCACCTGCGTTTCTATGCTAAGTTTAGTGGGGGTAGCAATAAGACAAGGTGAAGAGGGTGTCTATGCAGGGATCCCGTGGAACTTCTTTCTGGACATTGTTCGTGTTGTATGGGGCAGCTTTGCAAGCCAGTCATTTGTTCAAAGATAGTTTTGGAAGGGATGGGTATAATAATACAGATGATCCGGAAATTTCCAACTTTATACCAGGGATGGTATGAAACCATCGAAAGATTTTAGTAAAGAGGGAAATCATATAGACACACATTAAGAACAGTGCAAGCAGAATTTGTGTGCGATAGAGAAGGAAGAAACATAGAAATAAATATGACACCATTTTGAAACAACTGATAGGGGGAAAAAAATCCATTGTTTGTCTGTAAATATCTATGGAGAGCTCTTAACATCAGCTCATTTTCCAAACTTTTCAACCACCCCCCCCCCCGCCATTTTCTGATGGTATTCAAATGGTCTTCACCTCCAGAACCCTGAGTGAATTCTTTTATTTTATTCCAACTAGTTATTTCATTGAGATATAGTGGACATACCCAGGTGATTTCTTTAACACTTAATGTCTCATTTATGAGAAAAGTATTTTAAGTATTAATAATAATACTATTCGAATTTGGAAACTTTGGCAGTCCATAACCTACATTTAATCCTCTCCTAACCCACTTCACATTTTCTATTTCTTGACTCCTCCTTGATGGGTTTTTTTTGGTTTCGTTGTTGTTTAACAAATCACCTCCAAAAGTTAGCCTCTTAAAACAACAAACATTGATTGTATTGCAGTCTTTCTAGATCAAGAATCTGAGTGTCCCTCTGTGAGATGCTCTGCCTGAGAGTTTCCCAGGATGTTGGACAGGGCGACAGGCATGTCAAGGTTCAACTGGAGGACGTTCTGTTTCCAACCTCATTCACATGGCTGCTAGCTGGCTTCCGATCTTCAATGCCTTTTGGCTGTAGATATCAGTTGTTTGACATGTGGATCTCTCCATAGGGTCCTAGGAATAAAGAGGAAGAAAGTTTATGGCACACAGAATTCAGTTTTTTGTAGCCTAATGTCAAAAGTGACATTCCATCATTTTGTTGTATTCTATGCATTAGAAGTTAGTTACCAGGTCCAGCCCGTGCTCCTACGTGCAAAATACATTCACCCTCCCAAAAGCCCCAAACATCTAATCCCACTAAAACATCAGCTCCTAGTGTGGAATCTTACCAGATAATTCAGGTTCATAGGTGGATGTTTCTTTGGACATAGTTCTTTAAGTACAGTTTCTCTAGGTATACAGATCTGAGAAATTAAGGAGACAAGCTTCCCATAAACAAAATGTACACTGTCATACGAATGAGGAGAAATGGATTTTTGTCCACACTGTTTATCTTTGGGTCTTTAAGGTCTCAAAAATTTTAAGATCCTTGACCTCTTGCCAACTGTTTTCCAGAAAGGTTGTGTCAATTAAATTCCATGCTGATTAAGCATAACAGTGCCACTTCTCATTCTTAACATCCCCAAGAACTTTCCTTTCTAATATTTGCCAGTTTAATAGGTGAAAATGGTACTCACTTATTTGGTACTTTAGTCATTTTGTTGTCATAGGGATCATTCATTCATACTTTTAGCTTGAATGTACCTTAGTAGAGTGTAAAGTAGTTCAGACCACAGAACTGTGCCTGACTTAGGTTTCACTTAGTAGTTGCAACATACTAGGTCTTTCAACTGTCAGTTTGTATAAACCCTAGAATCACATTGCGAGGATTCACGCCTTCCCTTTCCTGTTTACTTATTTTGTCGCCTTGGACAAGATATAGTAATCTTTTCAGACCTATTTCTTAGTACGATGAGGAGATTTCTTAGTACAACCAGTACAATCGGGAGATAAGGGTGCTTTGTGGAGACTGAGACCACATGTGTAATGGGTTTAAGAAAGTTTCTGGGGGGCGCCTGGGTGGCTCGGTCGGTTGAGCATCCGACTTCGGCTCAGGTCGCGATCTCACAGTTCATGGGTTCGAGCCCCGCGTCCGGCTCTGTGCTGACGGCTTGGAGCCTGGAGCCTGCTTCGGATTCTGTGTCTCCCTCTCTCTCTGCCCCTTCCCTGCTCATGCTCTGTCTCTCTCTGTCTCTCAAAAATGAATAAACATTAAAAAAAATTAAAAAAAAAAGAAAGTTTCTGGCTGGTGGTAGGCTCACTCCTCTGTTGGCCTAATATATGTTGCCTATGCTAAGTTACAGTCTCTACAAAAATAAACACACACACACACACACACACACACACACACACACACAAGTTATCCATAAAAGTATATATAACATCCTTTGGTCATTCAAAAAAAGTCATGGAAAAGGGTGTTATTGTTGTCTTTTAAGTAATTTGTGAAGTAGGGAGGAAAGTCATTGTGTATATCGGATTTTTAATCGGCAAAGGTTCCTTTGCAGTTTTGCACAGGAAGCACTAAACTTTATCACAGGGTGTAGCCCTGATCTGCACAGTCAACAACACAGTTATTGGTGCATCAAATTAACTAATGTGGATTTAGCCACTTGGCAGGTAGCTTTAACTTTCTTACTTCGGTATACAACTATGCAAAACCCAGGTAAAAGGAGGGATGCAGATTGCTTCCCTAACAAAGATTTCAGAGTCTGTTTCAGACTTCGTTAAAGCCCAAGAAGTTTTTCTCTTTAAAACTATACTTCTTTCTGAGCCTGGCAATGGGGAAAGAGGGAAAGAGCAACTGAATGGTTTTGAAGGTGACGGAGACAGACCTGGGAAGCGACTTTCTCACTGGGTGAGGAGTTTACAAGGAAAGTGAGTTAAGGGAGGAGGGATGGTTGGTGGTTATGGGTACTCCGCCCCTGCCTCTGGGCTATCTGGGGAAATTTACTTCAAGAGTATGTGGAAGAAATTAGAGGTTTATGGAATGGCATTCGTGGTGTTAAGAACAAAACAACAGGTCCAAAATGGAGTCACTTGTGTTAAGCTCCACATTACCGAAAAGACTTAATTATAATTTCAGCTTTCCCGGAAATGGCATCTTAAGCCAGGCAATCAGAAATCGCCTGATCAGTGCTAGCGAGGTTATTTGCCCGATAGACCCCTGCGATCCCCTAAAGGAAGGTAACTTTGTGAAGATCGACCTAACTTTTTTTCCTAATACAACTTCCTCGATGCTACCCCCTTCTTTTATCTTGTAGAGTCTTTCATTTTGTAAAACTCTTCAAAGCTTCCTTCCGTCTGCTAGACTGGATGCTGCTGACTCGAATCCATTTTTGTTCAAATAAACCCTCAGCATTTTAAATATGTTTCAGTTTACCTTTCAACAATGGGGTGATATCTCCAGGGAGCCGGTCATAGGAGGAGGTCGGAGTTTTAGAGGTCAGGGTATGTCCACTTAGCAACCTACGTCCACATAGTAACAGATGAAAATAAGTTCCCATATGCCAACTTTCCCCTCCCTTCCCATTTTCCCCTCTTACTGACATCTTGCATTAGCGTGGTGCATTTGTTGCCAAAAAAATCCATACTTTCCATTAAGGCTGTCTCTGTTTATATATTCTCTATGTTTTGACAAATCTGTAAGAACATGTCCAGCATTACAGTATCAGACAGAATAGTTTCACTGCCCTGAAAATCCCGTGGGCTCTGCCTCTTTATCCCTCCCTTCTCTTACCCCTCAGCCTTGTGAATCACAGATCTTTTCACTGTCTCCATAGTTCTGCCTTTTCCAGGATGCCAAATTGTTGGGGTTTTATAGTATGTAGCCTTGTCAGATCGTCTTCTTTCACTTAGCAACATGCATTACAGTTTCTTTTAGGTCTTTTCTTGACTCAAGGACCACCCCCCCCCCCGCCCCCTTTCTTCTTTAAGTCCCTAGATAATATGCCATTGTTTGGATGTTCCACACTGCTTATCCATCCATCTATTGACAGACATGGTGGCTGTGGGGACAGACAGACAAACAAGCTGCTACAAAGCTTGGGCAGGGGCGCCTGGGTGGCTCAGTCGGTTAAGCGTCTGACTTCAGCTCAGATCATGATCTCACACTCCGTGAGTTCGAGCCCCACGTCGGGCTCTGTGCTGACAGCTCAGAGCCTGGAGCCCGCTTCTGATTCTGTGTCTCCCTCTCTCTCTGCTCCTCCCCTGTTCATGCTCTGTCTCTCTCTGTCTCAAAAATAAATAAAACGTTAAAAAAAAAAATTTCAAACAAGCTTGGGCAGGTATTTTGTGGACATCGGTTTTCAACTCCATTTTCAGCTCATTTGTGAAATGCCCAGAGAATGAAACTCATTTGTGAAATGCTGAGGTCTGGATCCTAAGATAAGCATATTTAGTTTCTTAAGAAACTGCTGCCTTTCACAGTCGAGTGCTTTGTTATTATCATCACCTGCTGAACCTTCTAAAATGTATCAGAAATTAAAACAGTCCACGGAGGGGAAAAATGTTGAAACTAAGACCGATTTCCTCAGTTACTGTCTTGTTTTAATAGAAACACGTGTCATTGTTGCTCCAACTGGACAAATCTCACTGTGGACCATCGTGGGCTTTTAAATCTAATCCCCCCCCCCAAGAAAATCCAAGAGAGCGTGAGGGGGACAGACTTAACCCAAAGAGGCAGAGCCCTGTCGCCATCTTTGCTAGGCCAGGCCACACCCACGATGTAGAGTCCGGAGCAGACTTTTCCCCTGCAGTGAGTGGCCCAGCAGGGCATGGCAGGGGCCCTGGGAGGAGCTCCGTCCCCACTCAGGACAAGGGTAAAGGCGTCCCCACAGTTGTCCACCAGGACCCCAAACAGCAGGCCGAGCGGCCCAGCTGAGTGTGGCAAGGAGCCAGGAACCGCTTTGGCTTCCTGTTTACAGGCTTGCGCGGCTCCCTTCCTTCCTCTTTGTCTATTTCAAAACTCGTGGCAGCGAATAGAAACACAAGGAGGTGAAACTGAGAGTAAGAACCGGACCAGGTGGCGGTCAGGCCCCGTTCGTGGTTTGGGCGGCTTCCGGCGCCACCTGGCACGGCCCTGGACAGGCCTGTGCGGCCTAGAAGCTGGGGCGGGGAGCGCAGGGCTTCTGCAGACGCCAAGGCAAGGCCTGCCGAGGTGGGCAGCCCTAAGACTCCTCCGTCCCCACTTTTCCTCTTTCTCCGGAGTTCCCAGATTGTGAAGGAGGAACCAGCGCCGGGAGCCAAAAAAAGGCGGAAGAAGAAAAGGCCACCCGGGTTTCGCCCAGGGTGTGACCTCCGAGGGCCTTCCTAGCCTGGTGAACATGCCCTGGCCAGGCCACTTGAAAAAATCTGACCTAAGACCCCCACCCCAGACGTCCTGAGCCCCTGACCTATTCTGTTCATCACAGTTTGCAGAACTTAGGGGCGGGGGGGCGAGTAACGGAGTCCCTGGGACAGACCCCCATGGGCTGAGGCATAAGGACTTTTGGAAAGGCCGCAGGGGGAAACAAGTATTTAGTGTTCCAGTTCAGGGTCCCTGCGCTTCTTATTTCTCAATATCGTCCTCCCCCCGCTCGTCCCCAACTCCTTGGCCTTCTTGGGTGGAAAATCTGTGAAAGCTGCTCCTCTCAAGAAGCGTTGGTATTTTAAGTGGAAGGTAGAGATGCACTTGGAACTGGTCCCTGTCTCCTTTTCCACGAACACAAACACCCTAACTTTTGGGGGGAGACTTGTTTTTAAAGTGGGTCTTGGGGCGCCTGGGTGGCTCAGTCGGTTAAGCGTCCGACTTCGGCTCAGGTCATGATCTCACGGTCCGTGAGTTCGAGCCCCGCGTCGGGCTCTGTGCTGACAGCTCGGAGCCTGGAGCCTCTTTCAGATTCTGTGTCTCCCTCTCTCTCTGACCCTCCCCCGTTCATGCTCTGTCTCTCTCTGTCTCAAAAATAAATAGACATTAAAAAAATAAAAATAAATAAATAAAGTGGGTCCGGGTATGTCCTCAAGCCCCTCATGGCAGAGCAGGGGTGTGTTAAAAAAAAAAAAAAAGGTTCCTTTATGAGGCAGCTTATCTGTGCCACTGTTTTCCTAACGTATTGCTCTTGGCTTTGCCATGGTTTTCAGGGTAGGAGATAATCATCACCTTTTGAGATATCCTTCTCTTGACTAGACACCACCCACCTTGCCTGGCTCATTCTGGAAAATCTGTCCAGACCTCTTTTGTAGATGTCAAAGGTGCTTGCCCCCCTCCTCCCCCCCCCTTCAGAGTATGCAAAACTTTTCCTTTCTCAAGCCACAACAGTAAACATTCTACAAATATTTGGTGATTGGATAAGAAATGACCAGTTGCAACTTGCTTTTAAATCCTTTTTAGCGACTCTGTGCCTTTTGATTGGAGAATTAAAGTAATTACTGACAAGTAAGGGCTTGCTAACACCATCCTGCTGTTTTCTGACTGTTTTTGGAGTTCTGTGTTCCTTCCTTTGTCTTTCGTTGGCTTTCTTTGTAGGTGCTTGATTTTCTCTAGGGGTATGTGGTGGATTTGGTCTGTTTATGCCTGATGAATTTACCGTGGGTTTGGGTCTGTGGTTACCATGAGGGTTACATAACATGTGTTGCAGATAAAACAGAGCGATTTATGCTGAAAACTTGGCTCGCTCACGAAAACTTTACCCTTTTACTTACCCCTCAATGATTTGTGTTCTCAGTGTCATAATTTATTTCTTTTTATGATGTGGGTCCATGAAAACAGTCTCGTAACTATAGTTATTTCTTAACAGTTTTGCCCATTAAGCCTTTATGCTAAAGCCATGGTTACATAGCACCATACTCCAGTATTTGAATATTCTGAACTTGACTATGTATATTCACTGTATATGTCTTTACCAGGATGTTTTACAATTTCATGTTTTCTTGTTACTAATTAGCATCCTTTTGTTTCATCCAGAGGAACTCTTTTTTCAGCATTTCTTGTGAGGTAGGTCCAGTGGTGATGAATACCCCCAGTTTATGATGGTTTGGGAAAGTCTATATCTCTCCTTCATTCCTGAAAGACAAATTTGCCCTGTAAAGTAATTTTGGTTTGCAGTTTTTTTCTTTTGCACTTTATTTATTTCTTTTTTTTCAACGTTTATTCATTTTTGGGACAGAGAGAGACAGAGCATGAACGGGGGAGGGGCAGAGAGAGAGGGAGACACAGAATGTGAAACAGGCTCCAGGCTCTGAGCCATCAGCCCAGAGCCTGACGCGGGGCTCGAACTCACAGACCGCGAGATCGTGACCTGGCTGAAGTCGGACGCTTAACCGACTGCGCCACCCAGGCGCCCCTCTTTTGCACTTTAAATATGTCATCGCAGTCTCTCCTGGCTCGCAAGGTGTTTGCTGAGAAATCTAATAACGTTACGGGGGTTACTTTATTTGTGAAAAACTCATTTTCTCTTGCTCCTTTAAAGATATCTTTGTGATTTTATACCGTTTTGTTATTTTGTGGTTTGGAGAAGATTGCTTTAGGTTGAAAGTGTGGGGTGACTTAATAGCTTCGTGAACTTGGTTATCTAAATTCCTCCCCATATTTGGGAAGTTCTCAGATGTTCTTTCTTTAAACAAACTTTCTGGGGTGCCTGGGTGGCACAGTCGGTTAAGCGTCCGACTTCGGCTCAGGTCATGATCTCACGGTCCGTGAGTTCGAGCCCTGTGTCGGGCTCTGTGCTGACAGCTCGGAGCCTGGAGCCTGTTTCAGATTCTGTGTCTCCCTCTCTCTCTGACCCTCCCCTGTTCATGCTCTGTCTCTGTGTCTCAAAAATAAATAAACATTAAAAAAAATTTTTAAAAATAAACAAACTTTCTGTTCCTTTTGCCCACTCTTCTCCTTTGGAGGGTCCGGCAATGCACAGATTATTTCTTTGCATGATGTCCTATAATTCATATAGGCTTTCTTCACTCTTTTTTTTAATTATTTTTCATTTTGCTTCTCTGGCCATATGATTTTAATAGACCTGTATTGTAGTTCACTACTCCTGCTTGTTGCAGTCTCCTGTTGAAGCTCTCTTTGAGTTCTTTAGTGCAGGCATTGTAGTCTTGGACTCTAGGATTTCTGCTTGACTTATTATAATGTTTTCTGTTCCTTTGTTGAACATCTCGTTTTGTCTATGCACTGTTTTTTGAATTTTCTTTAGTTGTCTATCTGTGTTTTCTTAGAGTTCACTGGATTTCTTTAGGAGGATTCTTCTGAATTCCTTGTCAGACAGTCCATAGATCTCCATTTCTTTAGGGTCCATCATTGAAATTTTATCACTTGCCTTTGGAGATGGTGTCATGTTTCCTTGCTTATTCATGATTACTGTGGCCTTGTATTGGTGTCTGTACATTTGAGGATATAGGCACCTCTCCAGTCTTCACAAACTAGTGTTGGAAGGCCAGCCTTTCACTACTCAGCTTGTCCAGAGATTCGGGTGGGCAGTCTAGTGTTATCCAGGGGTGGGCTTGCTATTGGAGTCCTTGGGTGACCTGATGCTGAAAATGGTTGTATGTCTGGACCAGCTGTATTCACCCTGATGTTGAGCCCTAGTGGGACCTTGGGTTCATAGGTGTTGCTCCCATGGAGCTAGGGTTTGTGGGTACTGATTGGGAGCCTGAGTTCATAGGAGTCACCCAGAGCCATGGGAGCCAGCTGGAGCTACCTGGGGCCATAGGAGCCTGGTAGGTGATGGAGTGGATCAGGGGCCCGAACTCATGAGAACAGTGAAAGATACCTGGAGTTATGGGGGCTCCCTGTGGCCACTGAGCCACTTAGGGGCTACTGGAGCTAGCTGGCATAAAGGTGGGCCAGGAGCCTGATTTCCCAGGGGCCCTCTGTGAGGCCGGGGCCAGTGAAGCTGCCTAGAGCGTGTAGCCTGCCTGGGGTCACTGGAACTGGAAGGTTCCTGAGTGAACCAGGGTCTGTTCTCATGGGAGCGTTGTAGAACCTGGTGCCATGGGAGCTGCCTAGGGCCACGGGTGCTTCCCTGCCTGAGTCAAGGATTCCACGTGGGGCTGCTGGAGCCACATGGGGCTGCTGGGGCTGCCAGATTCCCGGATGCAATGAAGGCCTGGATTCTTGGGAGCCTGCAGGGAACCCTGCCTTGGCAGCTGCCTGGAGCCGTGGATGGTGTCTGAGACCTCTGGATCAGGCAGGCGCTGGATGAGCTGGTTTCATGATTCGTGGGAGCCTGCAGGGGAGTCACAGGAGTGGCTTTGGGGCCACTGGAGACAGCAGGTGCCTGGATGAAATGACGCCTGGGTTTCCGGGACCCTGCCCGGATCCTGGTCACTGGAGCTGGCTGGCACTGGTGGGGAGGAGGCCCTAGGTTAGTGAGAGCCTGCAGGGAGCCACTTAGACCTTCTGTGACTCAAGCTGCCATGGTTCAGTTTGAAACCCTGGAAGAACTGGTAAAAAATGTTTTTGGATCATGCTGTTTGTTGAATACTTCGCCCTCTGAGAGGGGTAGACTGCATAGGATTAAAGCTGAAGGATAAGGAAGAACCCTATTCCAGCAGACTTGGGGGCCTGGGTGCATATTAGTACCTAACATTTATTGTGTTCTCTTCCTGGAACCCTGTGAGATATTTTAGATCAACTCTTTCATGTAATCTGCATAATTAGCCTACAAGACTAGCTCTGTCGCTCCCACTGTATGAAGAAGTATGGTGATCCTATAGTTTGTCATCTAAATATCATCTTAATCATCTTCATTTAAGAAGTGAAAATGACCAGAGGGTTCTGTAGCACAACAGGCATAAACTGGGACTTCCCTGAGCTGGGGTTTTTGGTCAGTTTCACAAAAGTAAGCTGGAATCAGAGACATTGAATGAGTTAAGCTCGAAATTGGGAAGTCAAACCCCAAAGTCCGTGCTTCTCCTTATTACCATGCTACCACCCAGAAAGAGAGAAGGCTGTAGAGAAGAGAGGCCCAAGAGCAATGTGACAGAAAGATAACACACGTACTTACTTCCTGTAAGTAGAATTTCCTTTTAGAATAGAATTTCCTGTAAAGATAAAAAGCCCTTCTGACCTTCAGATAGGCCTTAGCAGAGAATCATCCCATCACACTTGGAAATGTACAGACAACACTGAATATAGTGTCTGGTATATTTTGAGCTTTCTTTTCTTTCTACTGGGATTATGTATGGCTCACGCATGGGCATTGTATTTATGGGAAAAATTTAACCTCATGGAACACGTATTGCACAATGGGATAAGATATATAAATTCTTTTTGCGCTCTTCCATTTATTAAATTATTTTGATAACCAATGAGAAAAATTACCAACTGGCCTGCGACTGGCCTTTAAAAAGTGTTAACACATTCAAAATTCTCTCATTGTCCATTACAATTATATAGGAGAATTCGAAAAGTGCTGAAACTCTTTACTTTGTTCTCTGTATGTTAAAAACTTAGAAACACTGAAAAGTGCTTTTTGCACTTTAATTCTTGGTGTTTATGTCTTAAATTACAGGGTGCTACATAAATATTATACCTATAAACCAATAGCACTCTTTATTTTACCCTTTCTTGGCTTTAAAATTCTGCTTTTATCCCAGATTAAATCACAAAGAATTAATTTCTCGAACGCTTTAAGCACTCAGCACCCAATGTCAAGGCTGTTTCTATACTATTGAGTTTTAAATTTTTTTTTTTCAACGTTTATTTATTTTTGGGACAGAGAGAGAGCATGAACGGGCGAGGGGCAGAGAGAGAGGGAGACACAGAATCGGAAACAGGCTCCAGGCTCTGAGCCATCAGCCCAGAGCCTGACGCGGGGCTCGAACTCCCGGACCGCGAGATCGTGACCTGGCTGAAGTCGGACGCTTAACCGACTGCGCCACCCAGGTGCCCCTTTTAAATTTTTTTTAACGTTTATTTATTTTTGGGACAGAGAGAGATAGAGCATGAACGGGGGAGGGGCAGAGAGAGAGGGAGACACAGAATCG